CATCATCATCATCATCATCATCATCATCATCATCATCATCATCATAAGCATCACAATCATCATCACCACCATCATCAACATCATCATCGTCATCATCAACATCATCATGATCATTATGATCATCATCATCGTCGTCGTCGTCATCGTCTCTGTCCTCTTCATCATCATCATCATCATCATCATCATCATCATCATCATCATCATCATCATCATCATCATCATCATCGTTATCATCGTCATCATCGTCATCATCATCATCATCATCATCATCATCATCCTCATCATCATCATCATCATCGTGATCATCATTATCATCAACATCAACATCATCATAATCATCATAAGCGTCATCATCATCATCAGCATCACCATAATCATCATCAGCATCATCGTCGTCATCGTCGTCACTGTCCGACGGCATCGTCGTCGTCATCATCATCGTTGTCGTCATCATCGTCGTCACCATCATCGTCATCGTCACCATCATCATCATCATCATCATCATCATCATCATCATCATCATCATCATCATCATCATCGTGATTATCATCATCATCACAATCATCAGACTCATCATCATCATCATCATCGTCGTCGTCATCATCATCATCATCATCATCATCATCATCCTTATCATCATCATCCTCATTATCATCATCATGACCATCGTCATCATCATCATCACCATCCCATGCCGCACAAGATCGGCGTCCCCAATGACTCATCCGCCTCCACGCTTCCCCTCTGGGGCAGCCGAGCGGCCCAGGGACACGCTCCGGCCTCTGGCCTCGCAGGGGGAGGGGGCCTGGCGGAGTGGCGCAGGAGGCCTCGCGGGATCACGAGCGCCACCCCTGCAGTCTTCAGCGGCAGAGCGCTCGCCTGGTTCGGGCCGGGCGAAAGGGGGGATAGCAAAGGGGGGGGCTGAGAATCAACCCACGTGGCTGATTTTCCTGGCGCCTCCCGGCGGCGGAGGCGGCTGTGTGTCGAGGAATGGGCCCCTCGGTGGTGCCGTCTCCGTCTCCCCTTTCCCCCCCTTACCCAATCCCCCCCTTTACCAATCCCCCCCTTGGTGCATGCAGAAAATTCGTAACCCCCCTTTCCCAATCCCCCCCTTTCGTCTGGCCCGAGCCTGGTAGGCGAGCATGTGGCCGGGAAGCATGAAGCAGAGGGGGGCCCCCAGCAGAGCGCCTCGGAACGCCTCAGGGAGGAAGAAAAAGCTGTGCAAGCGTAAGTATTCGGAGTTTCGCGCGGATGTCTTGGATCGGCGCTGGCACCTCCCTACCTGGCGCGCAGAGCGCGTCAGTGGCGGCGCCAGGTGGCGTCGCCAGGGGGAGATCCGCTCGGAGCTCCGAAAGATGATGCTTTCATGCCGTTGCTTCTTCCTGGACGCCTGCACCCGGGAGATGTCGGTGAGGGTCGTCGCGGCGCCCACCACGCACAGGACGACCGCGGCCGTCGACGCGGTCCACGGGGAGAGCGTGCGGCAGTGCTGACCCTGCCGAGCATCGTTCCGCCTCTCCCCGCCCACGCTGGCATGGCCTTGGCCCCGCTGGCCGGTGGTTTACCCCACTCACGTGGGGATATTTATACCTAGGGTTAAATGTACATGTGTATGTGAGAGAAAACGCGTTTCACGGACGCTTGCTCAAAAAAAAAAAAACTGACACCTTAGAACCGCCACCCACCCACCCCGAACAACAAAAATTAGCGCCCCAGGAAAGCCGCTATGCCCCCCCCCCGCACACACACACACACACACACATACACTCACACACACACACACACACACATACACTCACACACACACACACACACACCCGGGCACCGGCCTCTTTAAAAAGGGGGGTAGCCCCCCCCCTCCAAAGGGAGGGGAGGGGGGGGTCGTACCAGGGGGGAGGCCCTCCTGTCTAGGGGGGGGTTCGAACCGCCCCCCCCACCCTGATTGCAAGGGGGGTGGTCCAAACGGGAGGGGGAGGGACCTGTCCAGGGGGGGGGGTCGAATCTGGGCCCCCTCCCATTACGATTTGTTCAGGGGATACGGGCCCCTTTCCACCCCGCTCGAGCATGGGAAGGGGCGAGCGAGCGAACGAGCGGAGGGGGGCGAGCGACCATGGAAAAGGGGAGGGAGCGAAAGAGCGAGCGAGAGAGAGAGAGAGAGCGGGCCAGCCTCTCGCTCGCTCGCTCGCTCGAACAAGCGAGCGAGCGATTCGGGCGGTTCGGGTCGGGCGAGCGGGTCATTAAATGCACGGTGATCGCTTGCTCGCTCGTTCGCTCGCCCGCTCGAGCAAGCGCGCGAGCGAGCGAGCGTGTTGGGCTGTTCGGGTCGGGTGGGCGGGTGATTACATGCATGGTGCTCGCTTGCTCTCGATCGCTAGCTCAAGCAAGATTGCGAGAGGGCAAACGAGGTAAGGAATGCTGGATTCGGTCCTCTCGCTCGCTCGCTCGAACTCGCGAGCCAAAGGGTTGGGCAAGCGAGCGAACGAGCGAGGGAAGACGGGTGTCCTCTCGCTCGGTCGTAGGCTGAAGCAAATGAGAGGCGGTTCGAGCGGGAGTGACATGAAATGCATGGTGATCGCTTGCTCGCTCGCTCGCTTGCTCGCTCGCTCGGTCTCTCAAGAATGCGAGCGAGCGAGTCGGGCGGGTCGGGTGGGGCTGGCTGGCGGGGCAGTTAATCCGCCACCGCGCTTGCAACAGTAGATGTGTGTGTGTCGGGCCCTTTCGCTGCTTGCGAAGCAAAAAATTGGGGCCCCCCGTTGCGTCGTGCCCAAGATGCGCTCATTGTTGTTACCTAGTCCCTGCGTTTTGGGCCATCCAGGCGAAAAATTGAACCCAAATACGAAGTTGGGGGAGGGACCGTCAGTAGAACATCACCTGTCATTAGTGCTTGCCCGCCCCCCAGTGCATGGCCAAAACGGGCCACCATGGCCACAAAACTGGCCAAGAGGGCCCCAAAGAGGGCCCCACGACGCTCCAAGGAGGTCCCGAGTCGACGAAAGATCGCGCCAACACGCCCAAGATGGCCCCAAGACGGTTCCACCAGCCCCCTAGACGCCCAAAGAGATCCCCAATAAGCCTCCCAACAGGGACCCAAGAGGCACAAGTCGTCTCATACCCGTCGGAAAACGTACACTTTGAAAACATTGGCCTCTTCGGCTTTCATAGCGTCCAAGACGCCCAAGAGGCCCCCAAGACCGCCCCGAGACGGCCCAAGGGGCCGCCAAGAGCGCTCCAAGACGGCCCAAGAAGGCCCCAAGACGGCCCAAGAGGCCCCCAAGACGACCCAACAGGGCCCCAGGACGGGCCCAAGAGCGGGCCTGGAGGGAGTAGCAGCAAAAAAATCCGCCACCGCGCTTGCAGCGGCAGATGTGCATCGGGCCCTCCCGCTCCTTGCGAATCAATAGTTGGGCCCCCCCGACGCATCGAGCCCAAGATGCGCTCACTGTTATGACGAAGCTTATGGTTTTTTGGCCTTCCAGCAGAAGATGTCCCCAAATACGAAATTGGGTGACGGACGTTCAGTGGACCCACCGCTCCCGGCGCCCGCCCCCCTCCCCCCCTGTGCGCCCGCCCGAGCGCGGCGGCGGAATCGCGCGGCAGCGCCACGTCATACATGGTGCTCGCGTGCTCGCTCGCTCGCTCGAGCGAGCGAGCGAGCGAGGAAGAGGATCGACAGTCGTCGTCGGCGTCGTCGGCGTCGTCGGCGTCGTCGGCGTCGTCGTCGTCGTCCCAGTCGCCGTCGCCGCAGTCGCCGCCAGAGTCGTCGACCCGGCGTCGTCGTCGTCGTCGTTGGCGTCCGCGTCGGCGTCGGCGTCAGCGTCGGCGTTGGCGTCGGCGTCGGCATCGGCGTCGGCGTCGGCGTCGGCATCGGCGTCGGCGTCGTCGGCGTCGTCGTCGTCGTCGGCGTCACCGCCACCGTCATCGTCGTCGTCGTCGTCTTCGTCGTCGTCGGCGTCGGCGCGTCGCCGGCGTCGGCACCTTCGTCGTCGATTGCAATTGGCAAAGGGTGGAGGGAGCCAGTTCCTCAGAAGAAAGGGGGGGGCCCAGTTCGAACGCCCCACCCCCCTTGAGAGGGGAGTGCCCGTTCCCCGTTCGAACCCCCACCCCCCTTTGCAACTCAGGGGGAGGGTCGGTTCGAACACCCCCCCTTGAGGGGGGAGGGCCCGGTTCGCACCCCCCGCTGCCCCCCCCCTACACCTCAGGGGGGGGCCCTCCCCGATTGAACCCCACCCCTTCCTGGCGTCCACAGAACGCGCTCTCTCGTACATATGTATGTATGCATTGTACATATACATATGTATATATATGTATATATATATATATATATAGAGAGAGAGATATGTGAACATAAATGTATATGCATACCAGCAAACATGCATACATGCATACATGCATGCATACATGCATACATGCATACAGACATACACATGTACATCCGCAGATGCAGGTACAAGTACCTATGAATATAACTATAGGTTTGTGTATATATATATACATAAATATGAGCGTATGCGTACGTATGCATGAATCTTCCTGTACGTCTACAAATACGTACAAATAAAATACATGTTCATAAACATATATGCATGCCTAAGGATACCCGTAAAAAAACATGTATCTATGTACATCTTTATACGTGAATATAACAACATACAAATACAGGAAACATGCACATACGCACATATTGTCATACATACTGTACACATAATTATACGTACACCTACACATAGACATGTACATAAATATGCACATACATATACATACACATAAAAATGAAGATGCATTGATACACCTGCATATACAAATTAACATGTCCAGACAAGTACCAATACATTTCCCTAGGGACATACGCATTTCCGTACATACCTACATGTACATATGCATGAACATATGCATGTGAATGTGCATATACACATACGCATATATCTATATATATATATATATATATATATACATACGTACTCATATACATATAGACGCATGCATAAACATGTTATGGTATCGATACATACACACAGACATATACACATACATAAATATAAGCATGAACATCCATATCTAAATATATACCCGTATACTTATACATGCACACTATATATATACATATACCTATACAAATACATATACGTGCATATATATATATGAACAAAATATACATGTACAAAAACATATACGCATATACAAGTATATGCAATCATACACATACAAAAATACACTATTATCTGTGCAGGTACATATACACATACAAATGCTTATTTATATACATATACGTAAATATATAAATACACATTAACATATACAGTTACAGGTACAACTACAATATATACACTAGAACCATCGCGCGCGCTTCGCGCGCGCTCAGGTTCTAGCAGGCCCCAGGCCTTGACGAATTCACTGCTCCACGGAAGTAGTGGACCACAGTACACGCATGTCAATCTGCATTCCGAAAGGCCTTCGAGGAAAATGGTTGTGTAGGGGGGCGGAGGCCGTATGAATCGGGCTCAAAGAAGGCATTCTGGGAGCATGGGTTTGGGAGCGTCTTGGGGGGTCTGTTGGGGCGTGCCGTCGTCGTCGTCGTCGCAATGTCGTCGTCGCCTATTGGGGCGCGCCGCCGTCGTCGTCGTCGTCGTCGTCGTCGTCGTCGTCGTCGTCGTCGTCGTCGTCGTCGTCGTCGTCGTCGTCGTCGTCGTCGTCGTCGTCGTCGTCGTCGTCGTCGTCGTCGTCGTCGTCGTCGTCGTCGTCGTCGTCGTCGTCGTCATGTCGTCATGTCGTCGTCGTCGTCGTCGTCGTCGTCGTCGTCGTCGTCGTCGTCGTCGTCGTCGTCGTCGTCGTCGTCTTCGTCATTTCGTCGTCGTCGTCGTCTTCGTCATTTCGCCGTCGTCGTCGATTCAAGAGGGCACTTGGGGCAACTTCGTGCGAAACGATCTGCGGAGGGCCGCGAGAAGGCGATCAGTCATGTTCCCAATCAACTTCCCAGACAGCTCTCCTGTAGCATGATGGTACTTCGAAGCCTCCGGAGACTCGCGGGCCCATGATGAACCATGTCCCCGGAAGGCTTTTGGGGAACATGGTTTGTTGGGGTGTGTTGGGGGGTCTCTTGGGCGTTCCCTGGGGGCCCCTTGGGGGCCGCCGGGAACTCTCGGGCCCATGATGAACCATGTCCCCGGAAGGTTTTCTGGGGACATGATTTCTTGGGGTGTATTGGGGGGCCTCTTGGGCGTTCCCTGGGAGCCCCTTGGGGGTCTCTTGGGGCTTCCTGGCGGCCTCTTGGGCGCCTCACGGGGCTTCGTGGGAGCCTCTTGGTGGCCTCCAGGGGCCTACAGGCGGCCTCTAGGGCCAGAGACCTCGAAATATCGGTTGGCGGTCCCCCTCTGGGCCCTCTCTTGGGGAGCTCTTGGGGCACAGTTGGGTTGTCTGGGGAGCCTCCTTGGCCGTCTTGGGGTCCTCTTCGGGGCCTCCTGGCCCGTCTTGGAGCGATCTGAAGGGCCTCCGAGCGAGGCTGTGAGGGAACGCTGGGAAGCGGGGAAAGCGAGAACGCCTAAATCCTTCAAAAACCATACGACAATTAGTGAATCTTGCCTCCCAGGGGCCTCTTGGGGAGCCTCTTGAGTCCGTCCTGGAGCGTGTTCGAGTCCTCGTCGGCCGTCTTGAGGGCAGCTTGGGCGTCTTCGGGGCCTCTTGGGACCGTCTAGGGCCCTCTCGGGACCTCCATTAATTAGCCTGTCGTGGCCTGCTTCGGGGCGGGCCCGGGCCGCCTCGGGACCCCTCTGGGCCTTCTCTTGGCGCGCTCTTGGGGCACACTTGGGTTGTCTGGGGAGCATCCTGGGCTGTCTTGGGGCCCTCGTCGGGGCCTCGTGGGCCTTCTTGGAGCGATCTGAAGGGTCTCCGAGGCCGTGAGGGAGCGCTGGAAAGCGGGGAAAGCGAGAACGCCAAAATCCAAAACACTCGGAAAACGAGTGAATCTTGCCTTCCAGGGCCCTCTTGGGGAGCCTCTTGAGTCCGTCCTGGAGCGTGTTGGAGTCCTCGCCGGCTGTCTTGAGGGCATCTTGGGCGTCTTCGGGGCCTCGTGGGACCGTCTAGGGCCCTCTTGGGACCCCCTTAGCCTGTCGTGGCCTGCTTCGGGGCGGGCTGGGCCGCCTCGGGAGCTCCGGACCCCCCCGCACCGATGGGGGGAACAGGCAGCGGCCCGCCCCCCCCCCCGGGCCTACTCCGAGATAGAGAATCATGTTCCTGGGAAGCTTTACAGGAGCATGATTTGTTCGGCTCTCTTCAGAGGGGGACCTCTGGGGGCTTACCGAGGGGCGCCTTGTGGCCTTGTCGGCAAGCCTATTGGAAACATGGTTGGGGCGGTGGGCGGAAGCCCAAGGAATCATGTTCCCGGAAGCTATCCGGGAAATACGATTTACCGAAGTGTCTTGGGGGCCCGCAGGGGGTTCCCTGGGGGCCCCTTGGGGGCCTATTGGGGCTTCCGGGGGGCCTCTTGGGAGCCTCACGGGGCTTCATGGGAAAATCTTGATGGCCTCCGGGGGCGTTCTAGGAGCCTCTCAGGCCAGAGACCTTGAAATGTCGCGCTCTTCGGGCCCTCTTGGGTCGCTCTTGGGGCTCTCTTGGGGCGCTCTCGAGGCCCTCTTGACTTATCTGGGGAGCCTCCTGGGCCGTCTCTGGGCTTTCTTGGGAGCCTCTTCGGCCGTCTTGGAGCGATCTGAAGGGCCTCGGATGCGGTCCAGGACCGTGGGGAGGCGGAACATGGGAGAGCGCGAGAATTCTTCAAAAACCGTTGGGGAATTTATGATTTTCGGCTTCTGGGGCCCTTTGGAGGGGCTTCTGCAGTCTGGAGGCGCTCTTGGGGCGTTTTGGCGGCGTCGTCGGCCGTCCTGATGCCATCTTCGGCGTGTCCAGAGCCTCTGGGGGCTGTCCTTGGGCGTCCTTGGAACCCGGAAATCATGTTCCCGGAGAGGCTTCTGGGAACATGATTTCGAACGAGGCCCTCTTGGGCCTCCTGGAGGCCGTATTGGCGGTCTCCTGGGCCGGCTTCGGGGCCTCTTGGGCCGTTTTGTGAGGTTCCGTCAGCCTCACAGGACGACCCTTTTTGGGCCGTCTTGGGCCCTCTTGGGTCTCTCTTGGGCTGTCTTGGGGCTCCTCGGGGGCGTCTGGGGCACTGCGAAGACGAAGCAAGGGAGTATGCTGAATATGCACGGTTTACTACAGGGACGGGCTGATTTTTGCCTCTTGAAGGCCCTCTTGGGGCCCTCTTCGGCCATCTTGAAGCCATCTCGGGCCCTCTTGGGCCTCGCTGAGGCTGTCCTGAGGCCCAGCAGGGGCCCTGGGAACCCGGAAATCATGTTCCTGGAGAAGCTTCCGGGAACATGATTTCGAACGAGGCCCTCTTGGGCCTCCCTGAGGCCGTCTTGGGGGCCTCCTGGGCCGGCTTCGGGGCCTCTTGGGCCATCTCGGGGGGGTCCGTGAGCCCCACAGGCCGACCCTTTTGGGCCGTCTTGGGCCCTCTTGGGTCTCTCTTGGGATGTCTTGGGGCTCGGCGGGGGCGTCTGGGGCACTGTGAAGACGAAGCCAGCGAGTATGCTGAAAATGTACGTTTTACGAAGGAAGTGGGCCGATGTTTGCCTCTTGAAGGCCCTCTTGGGGCCCCCCTCTTCGGCCATTTTGAAGCCATCTCGGGCCCTCTTGGGCCTCGCTGAGGCTGTCCTGGGGCCCAGTAGGGGGCCCTGGGAACCCGGAAATCATGTTCCTGGAGAAGCTTCCGGGAACATGATTTCGAACGAGGCCCTCTTGGGCCTCCCTGAGGCCGTCTTGGGGGCCTCCTGGGCCGGCTTCGGGGCCTCTTGGGCCATCTCGGGGGGGTCCGTGAGCCCCACAGGCCGACCCTTTTGGGCCGTCTGGGGCCCTCTTGGGTCTCGGTCTCTCTTGTGCTGTCTTGGGGCTCATCGGGGGCGTCAGCGAGTATGCTGAAAATGTACTTCTTACGAGGGAAATCGGCCGATGTTTGCCTCTTGAAGGCCCTCTTGGGGCCCTCTTCGGCCATCTTGAAGCCATCTCGGGCCCTCTGGGGCCTCGCTGAGGCTGTCTTGTGGGCCTCTTGGGCGTCCTCGGAACCCGGAAATCACGTTCCTGGAGAGGCTTCCGGGAACATGATTTCGAACGACAAAAAAGAAAACAAGAAAGGGGGCCCTCTTGTGCCTCCCCTGAGGCCGTCTTGGGGGCCTCCTGGGCCGGCTTCGGGCCGTCTTGGGCCCTCTCTGCGGGGGGTCCGTGAGCCCCACCGGACGAACACAGCCCCACCGGACGAACCTTTTGGGCCGTCTGATGCCCTTCGGCCCTTCCTGGGTCTCTCTTGGGCTGTGCTAGGGGGCTCCCGCCGGGGGCGTCTGGAAAAAAAAAAAAAAAAAGAAAAACAAAGAAAAAAAAAAAGAAAGAAGAGCAAAAAAAAAGAAAAAAAAAAGACACTTTTGAAACGAAGCCAAGCGAAAAATAGTAATGGCGCAAACGCACGTTTTTACGAAGGAAATGGTCCGATGGGCCGCGATGCTTGCCTCTTGAAGGCCCTCTTGGGGCCCTCACGGGCCCCCTCTTTGGGCGCTCTTTGGCGACTTCGGGGCTCTATCAGCTTTCTTCGACCATCTGTACGGCCCGCGTGGCCTGTCGTGGGTAATTTGGAGGCGGCCCGGGGCAGTCCTCAAAGTCTGTGACGCCCCAAAGGTTCGGGGGGGCGACCATGGGGGATGACGCACCGATTTTGCCCCCCCCCCCCTCGGCCTACTCATATATATATATATATACATATATATATATATACATACATACATACATATATTTGTATACATGTATATATATATATATATATATACATACACAGAGATATATATATATATATATAAACACATATACATATACATGGATATAGATATCTATACATATACACATACATACATACATATACAAAAACGTGTGTATATATATACATATACATATACATATATGCATATATATACATATATACATAAAGATATACATATACATATACAAATACATATACATATATAGCTATATATTTATGTACAAATACATAGACATATACATATACATATACACATACATATACATGTACATATACATATGCATATACAAATACATGTTTATATATATGTATACATATACCTATACATATACCTATATACATATATACATATACGTATACATCGACATACACATATACATATACATATACATATACATAGACATAGACATACACATATACATATACATATGCATAGACATATACATATACATGCACATACACATACACATATACACATACATATACATATACACATGCATATACATATACATATGCAAATGCATATACATATACATATGCATTTACATATACATATATATACATATATACCTATATATAAATAAACAAATACCTATACATATACATACACAAATACCTATACATATACATATACATGTGTGTGCACCTACACACACATAGATATATACAGTATCAGACTATACCAAGGAATACATATACGTATATCTGTATATGTACATGTATTGTCTGACCGTCGCCGTACTAACGCAGGGTCCCGAGTGGGCCGTCCTCGGGGTCTCTTGAAGCCGTTTTCAACCCGTCTTGGGGGGGGGGCTCCTGGGCCGTCTTGGTGACCTCTGGAGCCATCTTGGCCCCTCAAGGCAGTCTTGGGGGCCTCTTGGGGATGATCTGGGGCGGTCTGGGGGCCCAATTGGCCTGTCTTGGGGACCTCTTGGGCCGTCTGGAGTTCCTCCGAAGGCCATCTTGGAGCGTCTTGGGGCCGACTTGGGCCCATCTTGAGCCGTACTGGGCGCGTCTTGGGGCCCTCTTGGGCGCCGATTGGGCCATCTTGGAGCACTCCGGGGGGCTTCCCTCTTCGGTCGTCTCGAGCGCTCTGGAGACCGAGAAGCTGGGTTCGCGAAAGTGCCACCGAAATCAAAGGAAAACCCATAGCTGTTGCCTCCCAGGGGCCTCTTGCGAGTCGTATTCGGGCCCCTTGGGCCATCTGGGGGGGCCTCTTGTACCGTCGAGTGGCAATCTTGGACCCACCTTGGGCCATCTTGGGCCCATCGTGGCCGTCTTGGAGCACACGTCGGGCCCTCCTGAGGCCTCCTGGGGCCCTCAGGGACCGTCTTGGGGACATCTGGCGCCGGCTTGGGCCCTCCTGGGGCGCTCCGGAACCAGCCATCCCGGCCGCACCCGAAGTTGTCCCATATCAGTTTCTATGTATATAGGTACTCGTTGTAACGAGAGAGAGAGAGAGAGAGAAAGACAGAGAGAGAGGTGTGTGTAGATGCTGCTCCCGTCAGGTTTTGCGGTGCTTATCCCCACCTGGGCGGGCGACATGGTGGTGCTGAGATACCACGGCCCAGATGGGGGTGGGGATCGGTTGGACGATGCTGGCCTGCCCCTGCGACGACGGAGGCGGGAAGCCCACGCTCTGCATCAGGGTGTCCCGGGCGGGCTTGAAGACCAGCGGGAAACACACCGTCAGATTCACAGACTGGGCTATCCATGCCAGGAGCACGAGCACGCCAGGCTGGTAGCCCATCAGCACGTTGCCCTGGACCGTGGACCCAAAGCATGCCAGGCCTGCGATCGAGAAGGCAACATAGATTACGGTGCAGATACTGAACGAGAGGATGGATGCTGTAACGAAGGCGTTCCATTGCGACGGATGGTCTGACAGCTCTGCCCAGATGGTCGGAGCGTTGTAGTGAAAACTCAGAGCACTCGTCATGATTGACACCGCCCGAAAGATGCCCTCCCTCTCTGAGCCAACAAAGCTGGCGCCATCGAAGAAGTCCCAGCAACTTTCCTGCGTAGCGCTGTCCGCAATAACGAAGACAAGCGCGTACCCGACAGCAAAGACACCAAGAAGCGACGAGAACCGCAGTGAGTAGAGATTCTCTTTCAGCGACAGCGGCAGGATAGCAGACGCCGTGATTAACACTGCCAACAGCGTCCTGCTGAGTCGGTTCACCGGAAGACCGAAGAGGCCATTGAGGCCGATGTTGGCGTAGTCCAGAATGAGGAGCGTGTAGCCAACGTTTGTGATGATGCACTCAAGCACGACCATGACGTCCACCAGCAAGGGGTGCACTCCCGCGCTCCGCACGCACGCCTCGCGGTAGGTCCGCGCGCCCGTGTGGCGGCACGCGTAGCCGATGGCCAGGAAGCCGAGCAGGGCGAGGAAGCCGGTGGCGACGAGGGAGACGAGGCCGAGGCCGAGGCCCCCGACGGTCGAGGAACACCACACGACAGAAACGTATAAACTGTCCTCCTCCTCTTCCTCCTCCTCCTCCTCCTCCTCCTCCTCCTCCTCCTCCTCCGCCTCCTCCCACTCCTCCTCCTCCTCCTCCTCTCCTCCTCCTCCCTCCTCCTCCTCCTCCTCCTCCTCCTCCTCCTCCTCCGCCTCCTCCATCCTCCTCGCTCACTCCTCCTCCTCCTCCTCCTCTCCTTCCTCCTCCTCCTCCTCCTCCTCCCTCCTCCTCCCTACTCCCTCCTCCTGCCTCCTACCTCCTCCTCCTCGCCTCCTCCTCCTCCTCCCTCCCTCCTCCTCCCTCCTCCTCCTCCCTGGACCTCCCTCACTCCCTCCTCCGCTTCCTCCTCCTCCCTCCTCCCTCCTCCTCCTCCCTCCTCCCGCCTCCCTCCTCCCCTCCTCAGGTCCTCTCCCGTCCTCCCTCCTCCCTTCCTCCCTCTCCCTCCTCTCCTCCTCCCTCCTCCCTCCTCCTCCTCTCCTCCACATGACACCACAGGCTGTCCGAGGTCCGCAGCTTCTCGAGCCAGGCGACCTCGCCCAGTCTCGGAGCCCGCGACCACCACAGACAGACCCGGCTCGAAAACGGCAGAGAAAGATGGGCTCCACGGTGGTTCGCGTCGCGGACTGTTTGCTTGCGGCGTCGGATCTGAGGGAACGCCTGTGACTGGCCTCGCTCCCGCACCCTCCCACCCCCTTGGTCACGTCAGGAGTCGCGCAGGCGCCGCCTGGAAATGAGCCATTTGTTAGTTTGCCTTTCTATTTCCTGGAGGATGGAGGGGACCGCAAGGCACAAGAGCGGACTTCAAAACGCGAGTGCCGTCACACACACACACACACACCTAAAGCCGAGTTCAAAGAGCATTCCCAGACGTCGCCAGCACGAAGTGTGACGAGACCAGCCCCCTCCCCCCCCAGTCACGCCTGTTATCGCCATGGGAAGGGAGGATGGAAAGAAAAAAAAAAACAAAAAGAAATGTTATATACAAAACAGGAATCAGAAAAAAAAAACTAATGATAATAATAAGAAGAAGAACAATAGTAGTAATGATAACAAATACCAATAATAATAACACTAGTAAGAATAAGACTACTAATAATAATGAGGATACTATAAAAAAATAACAAGAAGAAGAAAGAGGAAGAAGAAGAAGAAGAAGAAGAAGAACGGCCTCATCCTGACGCGCGGAGCGCGCCAGCGGCGGCGCCAGGGACGGCGCCGAGGGAGCTCCAGAGCCGATCCAAGAAATCCGGGCGGAGCTCCGAAGATTGATGCTTAGGTCTGTGCTGTTGCTGTTCCTCGAAATGTGCAGCCCGTAGGGCAAGCACAGGACGCCAGACCCTGTGGCGGAGGACCAACAAGTACCGACACTGCACCTCCCTGAACCTCTCCCAGGGTGCGTGCTGACCAGGATTTCGAGGCGAACCCAGCCGTGGCGACGATGATCAGGTCCCTGAGATCCAACGCTGCGAAAAAAATCGGAAAATCAGGGCCAGAGTTAGGTCGGGCATGTCCTCCTACAGGCGGATTTTGGACGACAAAAAGTAAAATACCCCAAAAAGATTTAGAACTACAATGAAAAAATACTCGAGAAATCGTCCCCTGACTATTCTTTGACTATCTCCGAATATTCCTCCTGTAAAAAAAAAAAAAACAAAGAAAAAAAAGAAAAAAAAACAAAAGAAAAATAAAAAACGAGAGAAAAAAAAAATAAAGAAAACAAAAAATCGAAACTAGTGTAAGAAACACAAAAAGAATAAAAAAAAAAAGTAAAAAAAGAAAAAAAAAAAAAAATGAACAAAAAAAAAAAGAAAAAAAAAAAAACAAACATAAAAAAGAAAAAAAGAAAAAAAAAAAATAAGAGAAAAAGAAAAACAAAAAAAGAAAAGAAAAAAAAAGAAAAAATAAAAAAATAGATAAAAGAGAAAAAAAAAAAAAAAAAGGAAAAAAAAAACAAAGCAAAGAAAAAAAAAAAAAAAAGGACAAAAAAAAAAAAAAAATAAAAAATAAGAAGGGACATCAAGACAAAAATCAATTAAAAAAAAAAAAAAGAAATAAAAGGCAGTGCCGGCTGAGAAAAGAACAAAGATGGATGAGTGTGAATAAAAAAAAATAAAGGGACAAAATCAACCGGCCGACCTAAGGCCAGAGACGTAGATCTGCTGCAATCTCCGAGCCGGGTCGACCCGTGAGGGTCGAAACGGCCCGGATCTGAGGGGTAGCGGTACCGGATCGCTTGTCCGCAGGGGCGCGCAGACATGGATCAGCGATGCGTGGATGTGGCGCGCGGTCGCCAGACCCATGGATCGGGGGAGGTGCCCTCCCCAGAATGCGGCCGGTGCCGCCCCGTTCGGCGGCGGAAATCCGCGATGTCCCACGGAAAGCGGACCCGTCGCTGATCCGCGCCCCCTTGATCCATGTTCGCGATCGCGTGATTTCCTCCTCTGACCTATGATGCCCTTGGTCAGGTTCACGGTCGCGCCGAAGACCAGGTCGCCCCTTCTCCGCTCGTTGGCGGCGCACACGAGCGGGGGCGGGGCGGAGGGCGAGCAGCCCCCCCGTGCCTCGGGCGCCCACGGCCCCCCCGCCGGCGCCTCCCGCCCCCCTGGCAAAAGAGCACACCCGTCCCCCCCCCCCCCCCGTGCGAGGGCCAACGCCCCAGACCCCCTCGGGCTATGAAAAAATCACGCCGGGAGGTGTTTCGCCACGTTCGGCCTCCAGGGGCCCTTACCGGCCCTCGGGACCGTGAACAAACGAGTCAGGACGCAAAACCGGTCTCCAGGGGAATGGGTCGAGACCTCTGGGGGACGACGTCATCAAAAAATCATGACGTCGGGGGTCTGGGGCTGTTGGGTGAGCCCTCATGGGAGCCTCTGCGGACCTTCGCGACCCCGTCGTAAACATGGGTTCGACCGGCTGTCGTCCAGATTTCGACCACCCTTTTTCGCCCTTTCCTTCGGATTTCGTCGAGATTTCGTCCAAATGTCTACCAAATCCAACGAAATCCGCACGAAATGCCCAAAACAGCAAGGAATGTTAGGACCCTCTGAGGCTCTCATAAGGACCACACAAACGCTCGGGTTTTCGGGCGCTCTCATCGGTTCTCGGCGGTTTCCCCGCCCCGCTGGGAGCGTTCGGGGGGGGCCCGGATCGTCCCGAACGGCCGCCGGATTACCGAGCTGTGGCCCGAAAACCAAGGGGCAGGGGGGGGAACGCATCAACCCCCAATCGTCCATTGATTGCCACCAGGGGCCCGATGGCACCAACACGCCCAGGACCGTGCGGATCCGCTATCGGGGGCCTATCGCCGATCTATCGGCGATGTATCGCCGACTGCAGATCGACGTGCCCCACCTGAGCTGATCCCCCCCTATCACTGCCCTGCCCATGGCGGAGACAGCCAAAAACACAACCTGGCGAAGATCCCAACCCATTCTACACGCGCGGAGACTATCAGCAGCACCGCTCAACGCACAAGAACTAGTCAAGGGGGTCCGCAGTACCCGTGCCACTGGGGCCTTCGGCCATGAAACGTCTGACGGGTGTGCCAACATGGACCCGAGTAAGCATGCGGGCCCTGCCAGTGGAGCCTTCGATCGAGTTCCCCATAGGGCCACGAAACATGTGACGAACGAACGAACGAACAAGCCATACGCCGGTAGGCGCGTGGGCAAAAGCATGCGTCTAGCAAGCTCGACGCGGGATCAAGGAAAATGCCGCGAGCAGCCGGATAAAGCACAAGAGGTAGAAGAAGAGGAGGAGGAGGATGAAGAAGGGGCCAGGAGAGCACCATGTACCATGTGGCAGTGTGCCCCAAAAAAGACCCGAAGACGAATGCGGGCCCTGGCACGCGGACCTTCGGCGAAGCTCCCTATAATATAGGGCCACGAAACGCGTCAAAGGTGTGCCAAACTGGACCCGAATGCGCATGCGAGCCCTGCCACTGGCGCCTTTGGTGGAGCTCCCTACGCGGCCACGAAACGTGCGAGGGTGTACAAACATGGACCCGAGGCACTAAGCACGCGGGCCCTGCCATTAAAGCCTTCGATCGGGTTCCCTATGGGGCCACGAAACGTGTGAAGGGCGCGAAAGTAAAACCGAGTCGCACGCAGGCCCTGAAACTAGGGCCTTCCAGTGGAGCTCTCTACGGGGCCACGAAACGCACGAGGGGCGTGCCGAAGGAGGAGGTGAGGAAGTGGAGGAAGGAGTGGCGGAAGAAAGGAACCACTGATGGGGTGAGGTTTGGAAACACGGCAACCAAATAGGGGAGAAGGAGAAATCCGCTGCCCCTCAGGAGGGCTAAAATGACCGCACACCCGATCGAAGCTGACCACAAAGCACTAAAAGTTAACACCAGCAATAGCTCCAGACACGGGTCAAACTCGCGAGAACCCCGCACAAACAGCAGGGTTGTAAATTCTACCCGCGAGCTCGTACAGAGAGGGGGGAGGGAGGGAGGAGAACACAAGAGGAACCCCACATAGCGATTGATGCGAACCCCCTTTGAAACGTCTCGACCAGGAGGCTGTACAGAAATTGGGTGATAATCCTTACTAGTTGGCCCAAACGGCCACGCTGATAAATCCAAAACCACATTATACCATAAGGGAGGAGGGGAGGGAGGAGGAGGAGCATAGATAAAGAGGTTAGGCAGAAAACGCTGAAAAAACGGCCATGGTTCATTATCGCGCCGATCGCGTCTCATGACAACGCGGGCGTTCCAACGGCAAACGGTGAAGGCGAGAAAGACGGGGAGGAGAAGAGGGAGGCGAGCCAAGGGAGGAGATCGCACACTACACAGGCTGGCGCGTGGGGGCGCCGCCAAAAGCTCTTCTCTAGGTACGTTGCGATCGGGGGTGTGACCGCGCGGTTTCACACCAACAGAAAAAATCTGAAAGCATGCTCCGCCTCACGCTGCTCAAGGTAGTGCCTGAGCTGACCGTGTCTTGCGCAGCGCATACAACCCCCAACCCCTGAGCCCACCAGCCACCTGTCCACCCAGTGTCTGGGAAGCGTTGGGCTCTGCCACCTGTCCAAGCGCTTGTGCCAGTGCGAAGAGAAAGCGACCAAGCTGTTGCGCACCTGCTCGTCGTCCTCTGTGAGGCGCAGGAGCTCCGCGGCACCTCGGGTGACCTAGAGGCCTCCGTGCGCGGCGTTCTCGCACAGCGCAATGCGGACCCGCGCGGCAATCGCCGAAGACGAGAAGTCAAACAGGTCCAGCCGAAAGCCAAGGTGTTTCAGATCTTGCAGAAGTCAAATGTGACCCAGTCTGGCAACCCCACGAAAAGTCTCCCCACCACCTTATGCTCCACCTCGCCGAAAGCCTCAGGGAGGGGTCGAGCTGCGGGCAAAACTGTAGTACCGAACTCACATAGACCCGGTAGGCGTCCAGAGAGTTAGTCATGCCCACCTGCAGCGCGCGCCTGACCTCCGCCCTGCCTCGGGACTTCCAAAGCGCAGAATCCCACATGAACTGGTACAGGCCTGGGCCTACGACCCAGACCCCCTCGAATCATGAAAAAATCATGACGGGGGGCTTTTCGCTTTGTTCGGCCTCTCGGGGCCCTCACTGGGCCTCGGGAACGTCAAAAAACTACTCGGGATGACAAACAAGTCCCGGGGAAAGGGTCCAGACCTCTAGGGGTCGACGTCATGAAAAATCATGACGTCGGGGATCTGGGGATGAAGCTCAAATGCTTCACTTTCTGGGTCACCTCTAAAGCACCCCAGACCGGCACCGCGGAAACGAGGCGCGCCCGGGCAGCTCCCAGGGAAGTGGGGCAGAGAGGGATGAGGACCGTCTTCTTGAAATTCAGCCGAAGCCCCGCGATCCGCTCGAACTCCCCGAACGCCCTCTCCAAGGCTGGGAGTCGCCCCCACAGCCGCCGGCCAGCCAGCGCCAGGTCGTCAGGGCAGACGCGCAGCATGCAGTCAGGGAGCAGAACAGTCATGCGCCGCATCAGGAAGTCTGTCGTCTGTGGCAGCCGCAAGAAGCAGGGGAGATAAAGGGCATCCCTGTCGAACGCCACGGGTAATATCAAACTGGGCGTGCGTCGTCCCCCACCCATGTTAATTTCACACGAGCTGTTCTTGCGTAGTGCGTCCACGTATCCACGAAGCCAGGGGGCCAGCCCAGGTACGAGAAGACCTTTTGTACGTAGCGATGCTCGAGCGAGGGAAAGGCAGCAGCGAAGTCGAAAAGAATCGTACCTCCGTCGTCCGAGCCCAGCGCTATTTTGAGCATGGTTACGTCCAGGCCCACCAGGTTGGCAAGCATGGAGCGCCCCCCGGGAATGCCCCCTTGAATCTCCAGGACTTCCTTGCCGACTGCTGGCCCCACCGCCGCCCGGACGGCACCCGAGATGAGCCGATGACCCTGTTGTGAGCGTTCGCCACGTTCAGCGGCCGCGTCTCTTCCCGTTCGTTCGTTCGCAAGCCATGTCGCACGACACATCGGCTCAGCAGGGGAAACGTGGGACATTGCACCTAAGCATCTAGCGGGTCAATGGAAAGACAGTTTTGTTTGACAATTGCTTTCCAAACAATTACCCTTCTCCCGACCGCAGGGAGCCAGCCGGCGTTTTGAGCACCACCAGGCCGGCGTCGTGAACTCCGGGGCCTCCCCCGCCGAGGAGGGCCCGGGAGCACCGGCCCCGAGAGTGTGCTCGGCGGCGGCGCGTCACGACGACGCGGAGGAGCGAACGCAGCGCCTCCGTGCGAGAAGCGGGATGCCGTCGGGGTTCGGCGCGGCGTTCCTGGAAGTCTTCACCGCAAACTCGAGGTGGGACCTGCGGAGGCGGGCCGGGTCCGAGCGGAAGTCGCGGGTGGCAGCGCGGGGGCGGTGCTCCTCGTCCTGTAGCCACGCGTTGATGATCTCCTCGTTGATGCCACCACCTCGGAAGGCCTTGGCCCAATGTGATTCCAACGTTTCTGCCATATACTTCACGTCCGTGGTGACCTCGCCGTCGTCCTTGAGTATCTCAGCCAGAGCGTAACTCCTTCCCGGACCGAGCCCGTGGACGAGCCGTCGGTTGCGTTGTCGGGACGTCTGCGCTGAGAACGCGCTGGCGCTGCTGGGACAAGGAAATGGAGGAGCGCCGCGGAAGAGGAGGTCGAGGAGGGCGAGGAGGAAGAGGAGAAGGAGGATGAGGAGGAGGAGGAAGAGGAGGAGGGGGAGGAGGGGGAGGAGGACGAAAACGAGGAGGAGGAGAAGGAGGAGGAGGAGGGGGAGGAGGAGGAGGAGAACAAGAACGAGGAGGAGGAGGAAAACGAGGTGTGGCGCGCCGTTGCGAAGTCAAAATGAGGACCCAAACCATACAGGAGGTTTGGGAAAGAAGCCGCCCGCACACGCTTCCCGGAAGGCCTGCACGGAGGCCTGCACGGACATGGCTTGGGGTCGGCGCCGACCCCCCCACCCTCCTTTGGCGGCGCGCAGAGGGGGGTAGGGGGAGGGGGGAAGGCTTCTCAGAATGAGGCTGCTTCTTAGAAGGCGCCGGCCCTTACATCTAATTATAGACAAGGCCCGCGCCTTCTAAGAAGCAGGGTGCTTCTAAAATGCCTTCCCCCCTCCCTCTACCTCCCTCTGCGCGTGGCTGCATCCTGGCCGCGAAGAGCGCTGGAGGCATCTCCTCAGAGGTCTGCGCAAGAACGATTGAGGGCTAACACGCCCGATTGCCCAGACCCCCTCGGGTCATGAAAAAATCACGACGGGAGGCTTTTCGCTATGTTCGGCATCTCGGGGCCCTTACCAGCCCTCGGCGCCGTCAAAAAGCGACTCGGGATGAAAAACCGGTACCGGGGAAAGGGTCGAGACCTCTAGGGGTCGACGCTATGAAAATCATGACGTCGGGGGTCTGGGTAAGGTGCCAGTGGACTGGATAAGCCCAGACTGAAGCCAGGATAATTCTGGATGGACCAATTTTCGCCCCCCGCTTCGATCCGCTGGGGGGGGTGGGCACGTGCTGTCGGAACGGGTGGAGGGGGGGAGGAGGAGGAGGAGAAGGAGGAGGAGGAGGAGGAGGAGGAGGAGGGGGGGGGGCAAGCTCCGTCGGAAGATTAGTCGCCCACCCAGAGTAAGCCATGCGGAGCAGGGTTAAGCGGCACTGCGCGGAAGTAGGCAGGACTGGGCCGGATCAGGCCGGCTGTCGGCCACGGACATACCAGCACCAACTCTGAATCCCAACAGCCCTTTGGGCGTGAGTGGTTTAGCGAGCTCTCTCTGTTCTCAACCCCCTTCTTCCTCTTCGGGGAGGGGTTTACCCCTCCCCCTACCCCCTCCCCCTGGACCTGGAGGGGGCCTTTCGCGGGTGGTTGGAGGGTCCTTTTCCGACCCCTGGGAGGGCTAAAATTCGACACCCCTCACGAGGATCGTGGCCCCGACGGGGGGACTGACGGAAATGCTCGCCCCATCTGTGATCGATCGCCCCAAAGATGGCCCCAACAGGCCCCCAAGACGCTCCAAGAGGCGCCCAAAAGGGCCCCCGGACGCTCCCAAGAGGCTCAAAAGAGAGCCCAAGAGGCCCCTCAACGACCTCCAAGAGGCCGCCAAACTGCCTTGGATACGACTACTTCTTCTTCTTATTATTATTATTCTTATTCTTCTTCTTATTATTATTATTATTCTTCTTCTTCTTCTTCTTATTCTTCTTCTTCTTATTATTATTATTCTTCTTATTCTTCGTATTATTCTTCTTCTTATGTATTATTATTATTCTTCTTATTATTATTCTTCTTATTATTATTATTATTATTCTTATTATTATTATTATTATTATTATTATTATTCTTCTTATTCTTATTATTAGTATTATTCTTCTTATTCTTATTATTAGTATTTTTCTTATTATTATTATTCTTCGTATTATTCTTCTTCTTATTATTATTATTATTCTTATTCTTCTTACTATTATTCTTCTTATTATTATTCTTCTTCTTATTATTCTTCTTCTTATTATTATTATTCTTATTCTTCTTCTTATTGTTATTATTGTTCTTATTATTCTTATTATTATTATTCCTCTTCTTATTCTTCTTCTTCTTCTTATGACTATTCTTATTCTTCTTCGTATTATTATTATTCTTATTTTTCTTATTCGTCTTCTTCTTCTTCTTATTATTATTATTCTTATTATTCTTCTTATTATTATTATTATTCTTCTTCGTATTATTCTTCTTATTCTTCTTAGTATTATTATTCTTATTCTTCTTATTATTATTCTTATTATTATTATTATTCTTATTCTTCTTATTATTATTATTATTCTTCTTCTTCTTCTTATTATTAATATTATTCTTATTATTATTCTTATTCTTATTATTCTTCTTATTCTTATTATTATTATTCTTATTATTCTTTTTCTTATTATTATTATTCTTCTTCTTATTATTCTTCTTCTTCTTCTTACTACTACTACTACTACTACTACTACTACTACTACTACTACTACTACGACTACGTACGACTACTACTACTATACTACTACTACTACTACTACTACTACTACTACTACTACTACTACTACTACTACTACTACTACTACTACTACTACTACTACTACTACTACTACTACTACTACTACTACTACTACTAACTCTACTACTACTACTACTACTACTACTACTACTGACTACGACTACTACTACTACTACTACTACTACTACTACTACTACTACTACTACTACTACTACTACTACTACTACTACTACTACTACTACTACTACTACTACTACTACTACTACTACTACTACTACTACTACTACATCTACTGCGCCTACTGCGTCTACTACTACCACCAGTAGTAATCCCACCAGCCCTTTGGGCGTGAGTGGTTTAGGAGCTCTCTCTGTTCTCAACCCCCCTTCTTCCCCTTCGGGGAGGGGTTTACCCCTCCCCCTACCCCCTCCCCCTGGACCTGGAGAGGTCCTTTCGCGGGTGGTCAGAGGGTCCTTTTTCTATCCCTGGGAAGGCTAAAATTCGACACCCCTCACGAGGATTCTGGCCCCGACGGGGGGAGGGAGAAAAATGCTCCCCTCTTCTTTGAAGCCAAAATCATTGATTTTACCAAGGTTTTGGCCCCATTTTGGCCTTCTGAGGGGGCAGCGCTAATTAAAGCTCCCCTCTTCTTTGATCGATTTCCTCCTAATTGGCCCCAAGAAGCGCCGAGGAGGCACCAAGAGGCCCCAAGATGGCCCCAAGAGGCCCCCAGGAGGCCCCCAAGAGGATCCCAAACGGCCCAAAGAGGCCCCCCCGAGGCACCCAAGACGCCGAAAAGCCCATCAGGACGACCCTCTACTCGCCTGGGCGTCGTTTCTGGACGGGCAGGAGGAGGGGCCCGAACGACTCACACCAGGACGAGGGGCCCGAACAACTCACACCACGAGAAGCCCGAACGACTCACACCAGGACGAAGAGCCCGAACGACTCACACCACGAAGAGCCCGAACGACTCACACCAGGAAGAAGGGCCCGAACGACTCACACCAGGACGAGAACCCCGAACGACTCAAACCACGAGGAGCGCTTTCTCTCCCTCCTCCTCCGCCTCGTCCTTCTCCCGCTCCCACCACAAGGAGGATGTACAAGGAGGCGGGAGGAAGGAGGAACAGGGGAGATATGCGGGGGCAGGCGGAAACACGCCTGAAAAACACGACTGTCGGCATGCTTCGCTAGAGTTGCTGTTTTGAGATGGGCTGGTGGGGATACGCGAAGCGTGAAGAATTAATTCCCAGGGTTAGGTCGGGCATATCCTCCCACAGGCGGATTTTGGACGGAAGATCAAAAATAGTCAAAAGAGATCCAAACATACTAAAAAAATGCGAGAAATCGCCAACTGACTCTTTACTCTGACTATTCCTGAATATTCCTCCTGTAGGGGGGCGTGCCCGATTTACTCCCAGGGGGTGCGTCCCAGGAGGCGCGCCAGCCCAGCCGAACCCCTCGGCGCCAGAGGCCGGTGCTCTGCCCCGTCGGCGCTCGGAGGGCCAGCCCCGCACCTCGCCTCCGCCCCCCCCCTGGGCGCCGCCAGGATTGAGCGGCTCGGCAACCTTGGAAGAAGGAAAACGCCTCAAGCATAAACTCTTGGCGCTCCGCGCGGATTTCTCGGCGCTGGACCCCCCTCTCCGGCGCGCTCCGCGCGCCAGGGGCGGCGCCAGAGTCGCCGCCCAGGGGGCCCCAGAAATCCGCGCGAAGCGCCAAAAGTTTCTGCTTGAGGCGTTTTTCCTTCTTCGAAACCTGCACCGCGTCCTTCTTCTCCGCGGCTCTGCTGCCAGGAGTCCACAGGGGCCCCGAGGGACGCAGCTCGGGTACGAGGGCCTTCTCCGCCTCCTCCTCCTCCTCCTCCTCCTCCTCCTCCTCGCCCAAGGCGCGGGCCCAAAAGGCTCTTCGAGCCCGGCAGGGCACCCGATCGCTCGGGGCCTGAATAATTACCCGGGGCGTCCATAAACTGGCTCTCCGGCCTGCGTCCTTCACGGCCCAAGGGGCCCAGGACGGGCCTCAGCAGGCCGAAGATTGCGAACAAGCTCCGACATGAGGGATTGACTTCTCCAGTCCGCGGGCCCCAGAGAGGTCTCGACCTCTTCCCTGGGAGCTGGCGTTTCGTCCCAGGTACCTTTCTGAAGGCCCCGGGCCTAGAAAAGCTCTCGGGGGCCAAAACGGGGGAACAGCGCAAGGATGGAAAAAGCCAATCCGCTGACGTCTGGATCAGGGTCCTTCCCAGACCCCCGTCGTCATGACATGACCCCCCGAAGTCTCGCCCCCTTCTGGGACGGGTTTCTTCGTCCAAGAGCCGTGTCGGATGGCCACAGGGGGCCGAAAGCGGCCCGCCGAAAACAGAAAAAACACCAGGAACCACAGCAACAAAAAACGCTCCCTCATAAAAACCACGGACTTGTCCAGGGGCACTTCATGGCCAAAGTTTCACGGGGAGTCCAGCCGCGACGACTAAAGAACGTCCTGGAGGTCCAGAATGGCCAGAAAAGACACAAGACCCTCGGCCGTCGAGCCTGATCAAACCTCGAACCTAGCGAGAAACATACGACACCACACAAGCTTCGACCAGAGCACGGGACCTCACCAATTCCTGGCACCAGATCGATCCGTGGACTGTCTAGGGATCAGAAACGATGCGAAAACGCCTGGTGTTGGAAAAGACCCTCAGGAAAAAATCCAAAACAAAAAACCGGAAGTACCTGACCCCATCTAGCCGGATCGCTCTGTGAGTCCCAGGTCATGGGTCCCGGGTCCCGAAACCTGGTGAAACAGCCCATTGCAAAAAAAGTGCAACGCCAAGATCCCAGGGAAAAGAAAGAAATCAAGCGCCCGACCTTGTCCCACGAGACCCCTCTGGCTCGCGGCGGTGCCAGCGCGCGCCGCCTCCACGCGGCCGCCGCCCACGCCGCAGGCTGACAGGCCTCCGTAGTGCCGCGGCCAGCTGTTCAGCGCAGGCGACATGCCAGAGGGACGGCCAGTGGAGACCGCGCGTGCTTCTCAGGGTAGCCCAGCCCCTGGAAAAAAGAAGAGGGCGGCCGGCTTGTCGCCGTTTTCAGCACATGCGGGCTGACCTCGGGCCCGGGGGCCAGTCGAGAAATGAGCCTGGACCCGAGGGGGGTCGAGGAGGTCCATGGGGGCCCAAGCATCGAAAAGCTCGGAGGAGCGTGGGCTGCCTGCGTCGCGCCCCCGTCGGGCCACAAACGGCTGCGGATCGGCCCCTGCCGCGCGCCAAGCCCGCACGCAAAGCGCGCGGCGGTGCTCCGACGATGGGCGGCCGCACTTGTCCTGGCCAGGCTGCTCCTGGGACCAGGGTTCTTACTTCTCTTACCAAGGGCTTGGGCTCGGTTCGGAGAGGATGAAGGGGAACTGGGACACACAAGTAAATAGAAACAAATAACCAGATTCCCTATATTTTCCCATATTTTTTCTGGGTTTCTGTAGTCCCCCCCACTTCCCCTATTTTCCCATATTTTCTGGAGAATCGTCGATTAATTGTGTCTGTGTGTTTCCCCCCCCCCCGAGAGGAGTTCGCCACGTTGCCGCCCGTGGCCACCTGGCGGCCGCCTCGTGAGCCAGGTGGGCCTGGCAAGGTTTCGCCACGTTATTGCCGCCTCGTGGCCGCCTCGTGGCCGCCTCGTGCGCTGGAGGGATCTGGCAAGGTTTTGTTCACGCTGCGCGGCCAGGCCAACTGGGCCTCTGCACCAGTCCCCGGGCCCCGGAGAATCGGCCCCGCCGGGAGCGGCGCGGCCGGGTGGCTTCGCCTCGGCAAGAGCTGGAGTGGGCTGCAGACTGGCCCAAAGACACGCGGCGCAGCGAGCGGGCGGCTGCGCCTGGCGAGCGGGCGAGGAGGAGGAGGAGGAGGAGGGAGGAGGAGGAGGAGGAGGAAGGAGGAGGAGGAGGAGGAGGAGGAGGAAGGAGGAGGAGGAGGGGGGGGGAGAAGGAGGAGGAGGAGGAGGAGGAGGAGGAGGAGGAGGAGGAGGAGGGAGGAGGAGAAGGAGGAAGGAGGAGGAGGAGGAGGAGAAGGAGGAGGAGGAGGAGGAGGAGGAGAAGGAGGAGGGAGCGGGCGCTAGGACAAAGCACCCGGGAAGCGCTCGCGCGCACGGGCAGCCCAAAAGCACACGCGGATCCTTCCTTTGCCGCGTGCCGCGCGCGCCGCCACGCGCCCGAGCGGCCGCGCCAGAGTTCGCGCAGCAGGCGGCCAGCATCGGCCTGGGCGTCGAGGGCGCCGAGGTGGGCACGCAGCCAGCCACTCGGGCAGCACGCTGGCCTGGGCGTCGAGGGCGCCGAGGTGGCAGGTGAGCCTTCTGTTGTTCTCATCGTACTCAAGGACCATACCCCACAAATCCTTTCGAGCACCCAGAGAAGTCTCGAAAAACAGTGTCGGGCGAGTCTCGCCTCCCAGGGCCCCCCACACGTGAGCACCCCGAAGTTTCGGTACGTTCCTGGTGCTCGAAATTAGATCTGGTGATCAAGGCTAAAACAGGTTGGAGCATCATAAGGTGAGCCGGCAGAACCGCTCGCCCGTGGCGTCGTTGCCCAGGGACTGGAGCACGAGGGCGGCGGGCACGGCGGCCACGGGAGGGCAGCGCAGGCCAGCGCGAGGGGGGGCTCTATCCTTATCCACCGCCTGGTAGCCGACGTCCTGGTGCCCCTGCGGGCGGTGGATACGGATACACGTTGGCCCCCAGGGGCCCGAAGGTAGCCATATCCACCGCCTGTCGAGGTTCCCGAGAATCGATCCTCCAGGCGGAACCAGGCACTTGCTAGCCTTAACAAAAAAACGCCTCCATCGCGGTGAAGGCGTTCACGGCGCCGTCGTCGGCTCACCCGCTGGCGCGCCACTGCCCTCCCCCAGGCAAGGGTAGGCCCTCTGTTGGGACGAGGAAGGCCAGCTGAGCATCAATGATATCCCCGTAATCAAAAATGACCGCGGTGGGCGCCAGGTAGTGCACCTGCCACCGACGGAAGACAATGACCACGGCAAGCAAAAGCGTGATTCGCGCGCTGGTCGGCAACTGCGCCACGAGCCCAACCGAGACAGGTTTCTCGGAAGGGACGCGCATAGCGACGTCAAGTCGGTGAGGAAGCAGTCGCTGATGGCACCGAGAGTTGAACGTCCGCAATTCACCAGCATGGTTTGCACCGGACCGACTGGCAGGCGAACGTTCCCTGCGAGGACCAGGCGGACTGCCCCGTCCTGCCAGGTGGGAAGGGCGCGCGCCTGCACCGCTGGACCTCCGAGCACCGAACGTTTCCAGACCGCCCGCGGCTCCAAGCCCGAGGAATCGAAGGTCGGGGTGGAGCGCGATGGAGGGCGGCGCGCTGAAGGGAATATCCCGCAAGGAGGGTCGCGGCAGAACCCATGGCGGCTGTTTGCGCCTCGAAGCCCTGGAGGCCCCAGCCGTGGACGCGAGGAAGAAGTTTCCCGAAGTTGTACTTGCCGGCGTGAATCGGTCGAAATGTGACGGGACGATGTCACCGCTGGGCCATCGACTAACTCCGCCACGGCTGTATTGATCGCTGGCGCGCCTGGGGGAGGGTAAGAAGAAAAAACTTGTTCCGACCGCTCGGGGGTCCCCCAGCTTTCTGAAAAAATGCAGAAGTTTTCCACGAAAACACGGAAAAATCTCTCAGAAGGCGCGAGGATTTCTGAGACGCCCCACCCGCCTTCTGACAGGGTTTCTCGCCGCTGATCTGAGCATGGCGAAGACGGGGCCCTTCACGGCGACCTTGGAGTAAGAGTGATGTCGCACGCGCACACACACACACACACAAACACACACGCACGCGCGCACGCACGCACGCACGCACGCACGCAGGCACGCACAAAGAAACAAACAAACAAACAAACAAACAAACAAACAAACAAACAAACAAACACACACACACACATTTTTTGCGTCGGCGGCTAAGCAGAGTAGCTGCTCTGCCGCTGAAGCATTAGTGGGACACACAAACCGCGAATTCAGCCGCGGTGCTCGCGGGAAGAGAGAGGAAGCCCAGCGCGAGCGGGAGGGAGAGGAAGCCAGGCCCGCTCAGAGCAGGGCCGGGCCGCGGCGGGGCGGGCGCTGGGGCGGGGAGACAGCGGCGGCGGCGAGGGAGCAGCTGGGGGACGGCAGCCGGAAGGCGGCTGGGCACAGCCCAGGAAAAGGGTGACAGGTCCAGCGCAAGCAAAGGCGGGGCAACACAGCAAGGCGGCCGAGGTGCTGAGATCCGAGTGACCTCCAGGCAACCGAAGGCGGCGACCCGAGTGGACCACCTCACTTGAGGGGCCAGGGGCGCTGGGGAAGGAGCCCAAGCAGGGCGGAGCGGGGGAGGCGAGGGCTGGCCAATGCGCCGAGATCCGAAGGATCTGCGAGGCAACCGCGAGGGGGGGCGGCCCGGGACTACCCCAGGGCGACGGGGCCGAAAGAGCACAGGGAGAAGTGCACGCAGCAGGGGCGGAGCCCGCCGGCGGGCCAAGCCAGTGGAGCAATCACGCTAGATGGGCTGGCCTGAGAACCAGGCAGAAAGAGGGGCGGCGGGCACCGAGGCCGCGGGTGGCCTGCCAGGCACCCAAGGAACCCCAGGTGAAGGCCCAGTCGGAGCACGAGGCAAGCGGTGGGAGCAGGAGAAGCGCCACCGGGGAGCGGGGCAGGCGGGGGAGGAAGCAGCGGGCGAAGACCTGGGCCAAAAACCTGCAAAATGCCGGCGATCCAACCTGCACAGGGCAGGGGATGCAGCGGCGGGGGCAGGGGCCGCCTCCCAAGAGGAAATGGGGCCGGGCAGGGCCGGGGCGGCAGCCCCACAGCCAGGGCGAAGGCGGGGGGAGGGCGCGGCGGCGCCGGAGGCGAGCGGCAAAACCAGCTCACCCAGGGCTGGCGCCATGGCACCCCAAAGGTGGTGACCAGAGTCGGCCCACGACATGCACAGCGAGGGGGGCCGGCCCCGGAGGGCAGGACGGCGCACGCGGCTCCACCTGGTGGGAGAAACCGAAGCAGCCCGCCGCGGGGGCCCCGGGCACCGAGAGCGGTGCGGCATCAGGGCCAGCGAGCGAAGCGCCACGCCGGGGCACTGGTGGGCGATGGGGGGTTGCACCGAGCGGTGCGCTGAGGCGTGGCAGGCGAAACGGAAGGCCGCGCGAGGCGGGCGGGGGTAGCACCGGACAGGTTTTTTGATTCGCGGGTCGAGAGCGCACCTCTTCGGGTCGAAGCTAAGCGGGCCGCGCGAAGCTTGAATTAACAAAGAGGGTAGCACCGAACAGGTGCACCAAAGATTGATGGGAGGCAAGGCGAGTTGCCGCGCGGGGGGGAGCAGCCACACAGGAGCGATCGCTGCGGGGGGTAGGCACGGGGCCGCACCGAGCAGGTGCACTGAGCTTGAGGTCGGCTGCAGTCGGTCGGGTGGGGGGTTGGCGGGAGCGCCTGGGGGCAAACCCCTGCGTACAGGGCAGTTTTTAATACATGGGATTTTTGTTTTAATACATGCCTAATGTATGAATAAAAGTATGCATCAACTCATTGTTGTTTTTATACTAAATCCCTGCATTTGTTATACATGATCCGCACGCGGAGCATGTATCAAAAACGGCACTGTATTGCGGGGATGGTCTGGCCAGCTGCTGTCGCCTACCAGTGGCAACTGGAGGAACCCGGGCACCGCTGCCTAGCAAAGTGTTGCTGGGCCAGGTGGAGTCGGCAGGCCTCTTACCCTTGCCATGGGGCGGAGGGCCTGGCTGGCAGGCCACCTCTTGTCCATTTCCTGCTCCCACGAGGCGTGCCAGTCGACGTGGGTATGCTTGTTCCAACATAAGGTGCGGATGTCGAAGTCGGCCTGGATGAGCTGGGTGACGAAGTCCTGGCAGAACTCGACTGGCAGTCGGTTTGGGTCCCTGGCCACTGGGGCCGCCGGTGGAGCTCCCTACAGGGCCACAAAACGTGTGAGAAGTGTGCCGAAATGGGTGGTGGGAACGCATGTGGTCATAAACCCTGGGACCTTCGGTGTAACTGTTTATGGGGCCACGGACCGTGTGAGAGATGTGCCGAAATGGTGCACATGCGGAGAGCAGATGCACGAAGCTGACGATGGCGATGATGATGATGATGATGATGATGATGATGATGATGATGATGAGGAGGAGGAGGAGGAGGAGGAGGAGGAGGAGGAGGAGGAGGATGGTGAGGATGATGACGATGGTGACAACGATTATGAGGATGATCACGATG